GACCTGAGTCCCAACAATCGTTTTCAGTGACGGGTTAATTTAATTTGGGGAATCGTTTCCTAATATTGTTATTGTAAATAAAAATCATATATAGCATAATAGCAGATGCCTGTCTCTGTCGATTTCCCTATCTAGCTCCTTCAAATTAATTATTAAGCTCTGATGAAAGAGTTAATGGGAAGTATATATTATTATAATATATAAAGCTTAACCGTTTTATGGTTCACTAAGAGTTCAGTAGCTTAACATTATTTATTATTATTATTATTATTATTATTATTATTATTATTAATAATGGAGCTCTTCATTTGAGTGGTGTTATTGAGGTCATGATTTTTTTTTTCGTTGTGTTTTAAGGGCTCATTTTATATATTTTATAAGGGTGAGTATATTAGAAATAAAGGGCAAATGGAGCAGTTCCAATACAAGAGTATGTAAAGAAAAGAAAAAGATATCAAAAGAATAGATCTAAAAAACGAAAATATATCTGCAGTCAAGGAAGATAGAAAGAAAACAGAATGAAGTACAAACAAAACGGATACTAGGAGGACCAGACCACGCTGGTATCGAAGGCAGAAACAGGCTGCACAAACACTGAAAAAGGCGAAAATGCAAAGCGGATCAGAATGCTCTAGCAGAAGAACTCGACTGTGAAGGAAAGCAGAGAGATGCTGGGGTGCCATGCCTATAAAAAGCAGACAGAAAAAGCAGATGCTCTAGCCAAAGGTGAGAAGAGAAGAGCTCCTTGGCAACGATAGAAACACAATCCAGACTGAAAGCAGATCATCTCATTCCCATCACGCAATCAGTAATAAAGCTAGTGTCTTGATCCATGCTTATCTTACCAAAAGTCACGAGCCACCTCGTCACAGTCTTCACAATCTGTCATGAAAGGATTATAGAAATCTAGTTTTTATCCTGGAAAATATGTTGATAACGTTCGATCCACACATGCCAAAGAATATCATGAAGACAACAGTAGACAAACCAACCATCAATGCAATCTGGTGTTCTCGAAGGCCAATTTCTAATGGAATTCCTTATTTCATCATTTGGAGTTTCAACATAAGCACATCCTCTTCGAATTTACTTCCAAATGCCATCAACATAATTGCAACGGAAGAAATTGAATATGAACGATAGTTTCCTCTTCACAATGAGAGAGGCTGCGATTTGCGATATTCCATCCTCTTCTTTTTAAATTATCAATGGTTAGAATACTGCTGTTAGCTTTAGATGCTTTGCATGTATTCCATCCAACAAGGGACATCTTATGCCTGTCCTCGGTGCCACTCCACGAGAATTTTTTTAATACTCTCCATGCTGTCCAGAACCTTCTTCGGAGCCCTGAATAAGGAAAATTAGTAAACATGTAGGCTTGATAGAACAGCTATGTTGAGAGTGAGTATATCACTTGTCGATCGAAAGATAACAACAATTCCAAGCTTCCCGCCTTTTCTTGTAGTTGGAAATAATCGGTTCCCAGAACCAAAGTCTGTTAAGCTTGGTGCCGAGAGGGTAGCCAAGATATTTAGGTGGTTCTCTACTCTATCTACATCTAAGAATGTCAATGTAGAAGTCTTGTTCAGGAACATCACCCACAGTGTATATGACCGATTTCTCCGGATTAATCTTCAAACCGTGACAGTTTGAAAAGCCAGAGTGCTCATAATGTTCAGGACCTGTTCGTGAGAAACATCACAATAGATTAAGGTATCATCAGCGAAAAGGAGATGAGTGACTTCCCCTATATGATGGAGCTCATCCATTAAAAACCATTCAATCATCCATTCGCCCCTGATTCTTGAGATCATGAAAGAAAGTAATCCATAATAAGTGCAAAGAGGCCTGATGAAAGAGGGTCTCCTTGCCGAAGCCCCTTAAGAGCAGGAAAGAAGCTTCCCCTTTAACCAAGTTAAAAAGAAGGAGAACAAACAACACCTTTGATCCACTTATGTCATCTAGTAGGAAAGCCCGTTTAAAAGACAACACAAATTAACATTGTCGAAGGCTTTCTCAATGTCCAATTTAAACATCAGTGTCAACTTCCTACTTTTCCTTCGGATGTCGACTAATTCATTATCGATGAAACCAGCTTCAGAGATTTGTCGCTCATGAACATAAGCTTGTTGATAAACGGAGACAAGGCAGAGAAGAACTAGAGTCATACGTTGTGCACAACCTTGTTGATGAGCTTGTTGATGCTACCCATGAGACCAATTGGTCTAAGGTCTTTAACGTTCTCGATAAAATCCTTCTTAGGTATAAGAAAAATGAAGGAGTGAGCCGTACTCTTCCGAAGCACATCCGTGTCAAAGAATTCATTGAAAACCTTCAAGATCTCATTTCTAATCCATGGCCAGCCTTTTTTGTAAAATTGTAAGATGAAACCATCCGGAACAGGAGCTTTATCATTGTTCTAGTCATACAAGGCTCTCCAAATTTCAATCTCCGTGAAAGGTTGGATAAGATGGTTGGCTTGAAAATCACAAAGCCTCTTGTCGTTGTACTGCCAAGCGAAGGGTTTGATCAAGATATCTTTATGAAACAGATTTTGATAGAAACGGATACTGCTTTGAGAGATCTCTTATTCAGCTTGAATGCTATCACGATTAATCCTTCGTTGACGAGGTCTCGGATGAAATGATGACGCAACTCGATATGCTTCGATCTTGCGTGAAATACTGAATTTTTTTTCATGGCTATCCTGACATGTTGTCACAATGAATAATGGTTGGACCATTTTTATTTTGCTGCAAATTATAAATTAATCTTTTTAGCCATACCGCTTCGCATGCATCCGTACCTGCGATATATTCTGCTTCCGCTGAAGATAAATGAGTGACGCAACCAGACTTCTGTACAGCTTTCCATCGACTTTTTCAGCTCCATCATTGCGTTGCAATTTCTCGTTTAATGCCATCGGTGTTGAGATTGGTTTGCACGTTGCCATGTGAAATTTTTTCAGCATATCTTTGGTGTACTTCTCCTGTGAAATGAAAATTTCTCCAGGTGACTGCTTCACTTGGATTCCAATAAAATACTTCGTGAGTCCCAAGTCCGTCATCTCGAATTCTTTCATCATGGTACTTTTGAATTCTTTGATCATATGTTGACTTGTACCTGTGTAAATCAAGTCATCAACATACAAACACACCATAAGAAAATCTTTTCCTTCTCCCTTTTTAATATAGAGAGATGCTTCACTCGGACTTCTTTGAAATCCATTCCGCTAAAAATATCGATCAATTCTGCTGTTCCAGGCTTCGGTGCTTGCTTCAGCCCGTATAAAGCCTTTCGGAGACGATAGACTTTTTCTTCTTCTCGTTTTTTCTCATAGCCACGTGGGTGTTCCACATAGACTTCTTCTTCTAGTTCTCCATTCAGAAATGCTGATTTGACATCTAGCTTGTATACTGGTAACTCCAGTTGAGCAGCTAGAGCGAGAACTGTTCTGATGGTCTCCATCCTCGCTACTGGTGCATATGTCTCGTGAAAATCAATACCGCGCAGCTGTGAATAGCCCTTTGCCACCAGTAGAGCTTTGTACTTCTGGATAGAACCATCTTCATTGAATTTGATTTTATTGATCCATTTGAGACCTATAACCGGCTTGTCCTCTGGTTGATCAACAAGTTCCCATGTTTTGTTTTTCTCGATCATGGAAATTTCTGCATCCATTGCCTCATTCCAAACTTCTTCATTGGTTGCTTCTTCAAAGACTCGAGGCTCACAAGAAAAATATGCAACATGACTTGTTTTATAAATTTATCGCAAAGACCTTGTTCTCAACGGAGGTGAATCCGAGTCTGTTACGATGTCTCTGAAGTTTTCTCCTTCTGGGCTAGGTGCATAATTTCTTTCTGGACTTGCAACTGGGTCTAGTTTGTTGCTTGGGTCTTTTGGAGTTGCTGAGTCCTCCAGAATTTCATAACTTGGTGGAGATTGAGAAATCGGATTTTCCCAATTCCACTCCGCCATCTCATCAAAGATCACATCTCGAGAAACCACCACTTCATTCTTTACTGGATTGTAAAGACGATAGCCTTTGGACTCATCACTATAGCCGGTGAAGATCAGCTACTCTCCCTTCTGGTCAAACTTGTCTCGGTTTGGAGTAGAGATGTGTGCATAAGCTATGCACCCAAAGACTTTGAGGTGATCCACATGTGGCCTCCTGTGGTGCCACGCATGTATCGGTGTCTTGTTTCGAACTGCTTTGTTTGGTAATCTGTTGAGGATGTAAATTGTTGTATTGACCGCTTCTGCCCACAAGTTGTTGGGAAGCTTCTTGGCTTTGAGCATACTTCGCGCCATCTCCACAATCGTGCGGTTTTTCCGTTCTGCCACGCCATTTTGTTGTGGTGTGGAACGGACCGTCAGCTGCCTTTTGATTCACTCTTGAATGCTACTTCACCATTTTGTGACATAGCAAAAGAGAAAATTATGTTGGAAGTCATCGGGACTTTGGCCACCATGAAATTGTCAGTTTTGTTGATAATCTTGCACACGCCATTATCAAACAATAGCTTGTAATTTTTCAGCATCAGTTGTCCCACGCTAAGTAGATTGAGAGTTAGCTCCGGAACTGTTTGAGCCTAGAATGTAATAGGCGGTTATGAGGCTCCGATCTGGACTCCTTCGTCTGATCTCCTCGAGAGTGGAAGAACCTGTGAGGCGGGGGGGCCCCTGAGATCTACCCTCCGACGCCTAAGCTAGTCCAATATAAGAAGCGGTTTATGGTATGTAGAGAGAGAGAGAGAGAGAGAGAGAGAGTTTAGAGAGAGACCTTAGGCTAAGAGTGTGGGAAGAGAAGCAAGGATCCTTTGGCTTGGAGGCTTTGGCCTCCTTATATAGAGCTTGGGCCTCCTTAAGTGGGCTTGGGCCCGGGATGCCTTGCGGTGGACTTGGGCTCGTTTATAGTCGTGTAGGCATATTAATCCATATCCCAACAATTGTCCATTTACTTCTTGTATTCTGTAAGAATGGAAGGAGTAACATAATGCGTTAATCGTGTATTAATTTGCCTTACTTACGAATCCGGACGATGCAGTTTGCCCATTGTGAGAGTTGCGTGATCATTTCCTTTGCCCCTTGCTTGGCTTTCGATGTCTTGAACCAAAGCTCTCAAGTCGTTAAGAGTTCCTTCGCTAGTCCATTGTTGTTAGCGCTAGTAGACCATAATTGCGACCTAGGAAGGGTGGTCCCCACGGCTTGAGAGTTTTAACTCGAACTACTCTTGTTTCGTGTCTTACCAATGTCGCGTCCATGTTGTTAGGAAGTCATGTATCTTGTTAATGTCTTACTCGTGTGAGGTAATATCAATTGTTCTCTTCTAGGAAGCTTAGAACTTCACCTTTTGAGAAGCGCATTAGTCTTTCTGGAAAGCTTAGTGCTTCTTCGGCTTCCCGGGGTGCGCTTCTCCTTTCACTTCCGGACGAGCGCATTACTCCTTCGTTCCCAAGGAAGCGCATTAGTCCTTCAGCTTTTTGGGATGCGCATTGCTCCTTCGCTTCCTGGGAAGTTCATTGCTCCTTCGCTTCTTGGGAAGCACATCGCTCCTTCGGCCTCCTCGAAACGCATCGCTCCTTCGCTTCTTGGGAAGCGCATTGCTCCCTCCGCTTACTGAGAAGTGCATCGCTCCTCATCATCCTGGGAAGCGCCTCGCGCCTTTGGCTTCCTGGGAAGCGCATCGCTACTTCGCTTCTTAGGAAGCACTTGCTCCCTCGGCTTCCTTAGAAGCGCATCGCTTCTTCGCTTCCTGGGAAGTGCGTCGCTCCTCGACTTCCTGGGAAGTGCATTGCTCCTCGGCTTCCTGGAAGCGCATTGCTCTCTCGGCTTCCTAAGAAGCGCATCGCTCCTCGGCTTCCTTGGAAGCACCTCGCACCTTCGACTTCCTAGAAAGAGCATCGCTCCTTCTCTTCCTGGGAAGCGCATCTCTCCCGGCTTCTTGGGAAGCGCGTCGCTCCTCGGCTTTCTGGGAAGCGCGTTGCTCCCTTGGCTTCCTGACAAGCGCATCGCTCCTCGGCTTCCTGGGAAGCGCCTTGCTCCTTCGGCTTCCTGGGAAGCGCATTGCTCCTTCACTTCTTGGGAAGTGCAATACTCCCTCGGCTTCCTGAGAAGCGCGTCGCTCCTTGACTTCCTGGGAAGCGCGTTGCTCCTAGGGAGCATTGATCGGAGGAGGTTTTCGAGCCTTGCCAAGAGGCGGAAGGCGTGAGTCGTTCCCCAGAGGGTGTATCGCTCGGAGGCGACAAGCATTCCCCAAAGGGAGCATCGCTCAAAGGCGAAAAACACTCCCGAGAGGGAGTGTCGCTCGGAGGCGGTAAGCATTCTCCGGAGAGAGCATCGCTTAGAGGCGGGAATCTTCGAGTATCCGAGAAAGATGCAAGTGGCTAGGGGCCAATATATTTAAAGTATAAATATAGCATAAAGAGCGCCTAGCATAATAGCAACGAACCGCTTTGCATAAGATAAATCTCTATAAAATTGACTTAGCTTGAGAGAAGTTGGAGAGCGGTTAAGAATTGGCTGCTGCGTTGTTGATCTGTATTGCGCCTTGTAGTGGACTGGTTTGTGTGTCTTCCGATAGAGGAAAGGTTGGCGGTTTGAAAGTTGATAGAGGCGGCTCTCTGCTTTTTTTATGAACGTCTCTTGTCTTCTTTTGGGCAGTCCAAATGTGGAGAAAGGAGATATGGCCCGCGGGCCATTGAAGCTTAATGGATGCAGAGATGGCCGGATGTGGAGCGGATTGGGCTTTGGAGGCCGCCGCGCCCTAATTGGTCGGTGGGAAGTTAATAAATATTGGTCGCTGCGATATTGATGTACGAAGATATCTTCTGGTTTGCTGGTTGTGCATCCTGATTACGAGAAAGAGGTCCACGTTTCGATTCTTTTTGTGTGCGTTTTTATTTCTTTGTGATGGAGGCAGAGCGGGTGGATTGGAAGGCGGTCAGTTTGAGATGGGCTTGCGCGGTTGACTGGACTGAAACGGAAGGCGGGCCACACAGGCTGATGGGAGACGGGCCTGGCAAGTGGACTAACGCTGTTGGATGTTAAATTTTAAATAGGAGAGCGGTCGTCATTGTAGCACTAATTGATGTTGAGCCCAATTGGTGTGAACCCTTAACTGTCAACTCTTTGAACGCGAGTTCGATTCTTGGTGGAAGCATTTCTTCTTTTTTGTAGTTGAAGTGCTTGCTACTGAGCGGGTCGAATTCTTTGCACACTTGGTGGATCTAATGTACAGAGCATGATGGGTCGAGGATGTACACCGGACTACCCACTTAGTGGAGGTGGGCTCGAAGGTGACTTGGTGAGCTAGTTGGAAGCAGACCGCGCACTTGGTGGAGGTGGGCTTCGAAGGTTGGTGGGCTTTGAAGGTGACAGGGCAAGCAATTGAAAGCGGGCCGCGCAATGGGCTTCGACCGTGAAGGGGACGGCAAATAAGGTGACCTGGTGAGCAGTTGGAAGCGGGCCGCACAATGGGCCTGGACCGCGAAGGGGACGGCGAAGAAGGTGACAGGGGGCAAGCAGTTAAAAGCGTGCCGCGCAATGGGCTTCGACCGCGCAGGGGTTGGCGAAGAAGGTGACCTGGTGAGCAGTTGGAAGCGGGCCGCAATGGGCCTGGAGTTGGAGCGGACCGCGCAACGGGCCTGGACAGGGAGGGGATGGCTTCGAAGGTGACATGGCAAGCAGTTGAAAGCGGGCGGCGCAATGGGCTTCCACCGCGCACGGGACGGCAAAGAAGGTGACCTGGTGAGCAGTTGAAAGCGGGCCGCGCAATGGAGCCTGGAGTTGGAAGCGGACCCCGCGCAATGGGCCTGGACCGCAGAGGGGACGGTGAAGAAGGTGGGCTTCGAAGGTGACATGGCAAGCAGTTGAAAGCGGGCGGCGCAATGGGCTTCCACCGCGCACGGGACGGCAAAGAAGGTGACCTGGTGAGCAGTGGAAAGCGGGCCGCGCAATGGAGCCTGGAGTTGGAAGCGGACCCCGCGCAATGGGCCTGGACCGCAGAGGGGACGGTGAAGAAGGTGGGCTTCGAAGGTGACAGGGGGCAAGCATTTGAAAGCGGGCCGCACAATGGGCATCGACCGCGCGGGGGACGACGAAGAAGGTGACCTGGTGAGCAGTTGGAAGCGGGCCGCAATGGGGCCTAGAGTTGGAAGCGGACCGCGCAACGGACCTAGACAGGGAGGGGACGACTTCGAAGGTGACAGGGCAAGCAGTTGAAAGCGGGCCGCGCAATGGGCTCTTCGACCGCGCAGGGGACGACAAAGAAGGTGAACTGGTGAGCAGTTGGAAGCGGGCCGCACAATGGGGCCGGGAGTTGGAAGGGGACGGCGAAGAAGGTGGGCTTCGAAGGTGACAGGGGGCAAGCAGTTGAAAGCGGATCGCGCAGGGGACGGCGAAGAAGGTGACCTGGTGAGCAGTTGGAAGCGGGCCGCAATGGTCCTGGAGTTGGAAGCGGACCGCGCAACGGGCCTGGACCGCGGAGGGGACGGCGAAAAAGGTGGCATGGCGAGCAATTGGAAGCGGGCCGCGCAATGGGCTTGGACCGCGCACTTGGTAGAGGTGGGCTCGAAGGTGACATGGTGAGCAGTTGGAAGCGGACCGCTTGTCACGAGCCAATGTTGAGAGTTGGAGTCCTGCGTTGGCATGATCTCAGGGGTCTCGATGGGTCTGTGGTGTCTGAGCCGAGGCGACCCCGTGCTGGAGGCGGAGAGGTCAATTGAGGCGGGCCAGAACGTTAGGCAGGCTCCCGATGTGAGGCTCATCCGAACCCGTGCGGTCTGATTGGGTAGGCGGGTTGGATTTAGTGGAAACAGTAAAGTGGGCCAAATTCCCACAAGGCAATGCCTGGTGGAGGTAACCTGTGGTGTGTGAACCAAAAATTTAGTCACAAAGGTCAAAGATGTTGGGGTAGAGTGCTAAAGTAGCGGTAGAGCAGTTTTTGAGGAGAAGTTGTACAAGAACGAGGTGAGAACAGAGTGTGACTTTTGAGGCTTCTTTTTCCTTTTTCTCACTGGATCTCCGGCCGCCGATTGTGTCTCCGACTTGCAAGGTCCCCTGAACCCGACATTTTTTCCTCTTTTTTTCGGCTGTTGTTCGTCTTCCTAGCTAGTTCGTCTTCTAAGCACCTAGCTATCGTCGCTTGTCTTGGAGTGGAAAGAATATATTTCTTCTAAAGATCCCAATTTCTTCCTCTTTTTCACCAAAGCTCCGGCCTCGAGAAGCAATGTCACCGATCGAGAGGTTGGATTGGTCTGCTTAGTTTTTTTACTTTTCTTCTTTTGCTCCGGCCGCTTTCGTCTATTTTGATAGTTGTTGCGGCTGCTTGTAATTGATGGAGGAGCTGATTTCTTCCCCTCTTTCAGAAATCAAACGAAAAAGAGTACCAGAATCTTGGCCCCACGGTGGGCGCCAATTATTTGAGCCTAGAATGTACTAGACCGTTATGAGGCTCCGATCTGGACTCCTTCGTCTGATCTCCTCGAGAGTGGAAGAACCTGTGAGGCGAGGGGCGGCCCCCGGGATCTACGCTCTGACGCCCAAGCTAGTCCCATATAGGAAGCGGTTTATGGTATGTAGAGAGAGAGAGAGAGAGAGAGTTTAAAGAGAGACCTTAGGCTAAGAGTGTGGGAAGGGAAGCGAGGATCCTTTGGCTTGGAGGCTTTGGCCTCCTTATATAGAGCTTGGGCCTCCTTAAGTGGGCTTGGACCCAGGACCCCTTGCAGTGGGCTTGGGACCGTTTATAGTCGTGTAGGCATATTAATCCATATCCCAACAGGAACATACAAAACATCTCGAATGAGAGTTTTGTTGCTTTCTTCTGTGCATACAACAACTGTGCCTTTTCCTTCCACTTTTAGCTTCTTTCCGTCTCCCAATTTGACTTGAGAGCGGTATTGGTCATCAATTTCGGCGAAGGACTCCAGATCCCCAGTCATTTGGTTACTACAACCACTATCCACCATCCAGGGAAGCTGTAATTTTGGCTCACCATTCAAACATGATAAGGCACCATATTGCTTTCTTCATTTTTGGTGTCGCTTGACTCGCCTTCTTCTTGCTTGTTCTGGAACCAGCAATCTCTCTGGGAGTGGTTTTGAATTCTGCACTTAGTGCACTTGAATCTACAGTCTTTTGTTGCATGACCCGCCGTTTAGCAAATTATGCAACTCAAGCCGGTGTAGCCCGATTTTTGTTGTTGATAATTGTGTCGGTTGTTTCCTCTGTATTTGGACCTTCCTCTTCCTTGTGAGTTTCCCCCTCTCTGGCCTTGCTCCGATTTGGCATATTTACTTTCCGCCATGTTGACTTTTGACGAGAAAGCTTTCTCCATTGCCGGTTTAGTGAAACGGCTCATTCTTTGCTCGTGTGCTACAAGTGAGCCCATCAACTCGCTCATTGATAAATTTGCCAAATCTTTGGTTTCTTCAATGACAACAACAATATGCTCGAACTTTGATGATAAGCTCCGGAGAATTCTCCCCACGACCTTCCTCTCTTCCATGACGTCACCAGTGGCTTTGATCTGATTTACTGTCTCCGCAACATGCGAATGAAAGTCTTTGATGGTGTAGGTTTCCTTCATCATTAAGTTGTCGAACTGGCGCCATAAACTTTGTCGCCTGATGGAGATCGTCTTTTCAGAACCTTGGAATTGTTCACGCAAGATATCCCAAGCTTCTTTGGCCTTTTTTATGCCATAGATTCTAGTGTAAATTGATTTGCTCACTGCTTGTTGAATGATTCTCAAGGCGCTGACATTTTGCTTGGCATTCTCCTTGTACTCCTTTGTCTGCTTGCCTGCTCGTTTCTTCGAGTCTTCATCCTCGTCTTGTGGATCTTCATATCCTTCTTGGACGATATCCCACAGATCTTGAGAGATGAAAATTGGCTCCATTTGGGCACTCCAGTACTCGTACAATTCTCCATCGAAAATGAGAATTTGATTAGAAGAGGTAGCAAACATGGTGTTTGAGGAAGTTGTTGCCATGGATTTTTGAGAAAGTTGTGTAGGCTAGAAATTTGAGGATTTTTGAGAGGAATGAAGGGTATTAGCTCTGATACCAAATTTGTTGGGAATTAGCGGAAATGTGGTATGATTTAGGATCAACACAAAGGAAACGTATGGTGTTTAATCACTCAATTTAGAAAACACACTCAACCAAACAATGCCTTATACTTTTGGCTATTGTTTTAATTGCATAGAGATGCATACACTCGGCACACTTGTGCCTTTCTTTCTTTTCTTTTTCTTTGATCTTTCTTTCCACCCTCTGACAACTCCCATACACAGATACATATATATAAAGAAGTGAAACCCTTAATTAATTGGATAAACATTATTTTGCTTTCTCTTCTTCCAATCAACTTCCACGACATGCATTAACCTATCATGGCCCATGTATCAACTCTTGCCTTCTTCTTCTTCTTCTTTCACAGATGGGATTGGAGACATGATGATAATTGAGAAGCTCCCAAGCATGACATGTCTCTAGCATAAATGCAGTAGCTAGCTTCTCTTGTCATCAGTGGCGGACCCAGAAATTTTCCATAGGGGTGTCCTCTTTCAAAAAATAAATTAAATAAAAATAATTAATAAAAATAAAATGGTAAATATGAAAAGACCTTACTCGTACAGGTTAAAAAATTCCATGATGTGTTTTCATATTCGAAAATAATTGTAGAATACAATTGGTGTTTATAGTGTTAAAAAAAATCCTCTATATACCCTACTAGACAATCATTCAGGAACTTATCGCATATTCGATTTGTAAACTTGTTCTTGATGTAACCCAAAGCTGAAAGACTCTTCAACACTTGTCGTACAATCATAAAATCAATACAAATTAAGGGTAGATTGAAATTAGTTTAGATTGAAATAATTAGAGATAGGGAATGACTTTTTACTATTACACATTGTTCAAAATCGAACACCAAATGAGTTGTAGCTCAACGGAAATTAAGTTTATTAATAATAATAGTGTTCTAGATTTGAATTACCCAACCTACCATTTATATTTTTATACACAAATGACATTAGGATAATCATTTTTTCAAATTTCAGGGGTGTCCCTCACTATTAATTATATTTTTTTGTCCATATGTAAATTAACACCGGGGGTTGGACAATCATTTTCCCGAAATTTAGGGGTGTCCGAGGACACCCCTAAAACCCCCTGGGTCCGCCCCTGCTTGTCATAGCATTATTTGATGTAGGGATGTCAATCCAACCCGTAATCATGGGTACCCTACCCGACCGTAACCGGTCAACGAGGGTAATTATCCGCTTTGACGGTTTAAGGGGCGGTACGGGTAATACCCGGTTTCAAAATAAAGGGTAGGGTACGGTTATGGTAATCGATAATACCCGCCCCGCTAATCAAAGGGTCAATTTCCCTTGAGAAATTGAGTTTAGCTACCATTATTGATGATGAAGATGTTGACGATTATTATGTTTGATATTTTTGTTTGTGTGGATTGGTGAAGCTAGAACAGTTACAAGTATTGAGAATTTTTAATAGACAACAGTATGTGTGTGCATATATGTGTATAAGTTCATAGTTTAGCATTCGTACCCATGGTTACCCGAATACTCGTGGTTACCCGGTGGGTAGGGTATGGTTATATAATTTCCATACCCGGTGGTTATTTGGCCGGGTATTTTAGAAGGCTCTACCCGGCGGGTTAGGAGTTTGTATACGGTAAACCTGCACCCGACCCTACCCATTGCCATCCCTAATTTGATGGTTACTCTTTCTCATCATATCAAATAGTTGTTGATAGAACACACCATGTTCAAACTTTATTGCATATGCGATTGTCTTTTGATATGGTTATAATAATAGATAATTATTGCAAATTACCTTTTAATAGTTTCTTCCTTACTTAAGGCCTTGGAGAGCTCCAAACTCAGTTATGTTCTGCTGGTTTTATCATCATTAACAGGATGCCATTGAGGTACTGGGTTTCTTTGGCTGTGAACTCAATTTATATACTTCACAACATAAATTATTGGGTAAATACAATTTAAATAATAGCCAAACCTTTTTGGAAACAATTTAATAGCCAAACCGTTAACTTTTCATCCGGTCAACCGTCAGTTGACTCTGACGTGGCAAAATACTTAAAAAGATGAAAGATTTTCGATGATGTGGCAAAAAGTCAAACTTTTGACTATGCCACATCATATTAGATTATTTTACCAAACAATTTATATTTTTTGAAAAATGAATTAAATAAAACTTTCCATCCGGTCAACCGTCAGTTGACTCTGACGTGGCAAAATACTTAAAAAGATGAAAGATTTTCGATGATGTGATAAAAAGTCAAACTTTTGACTATGCCACATCATATTAGATTATTTTACCAAACAATTTATATTTTCTGAAAAATGAATTAAATAAAACTACAAAAATAAGAATGGCGAAAATCAAATTAAACGATGTATTTCTATCCCCGTTAAATCAGCTAAACTACCCTAACCCTATAAAATCTTCACCCCTCATCCACCGCCGCCGTAAAACTACCTCCCTTCCCTCCACCCACAACCATCACCGGCGCCTCCACCTCCCCTTCCACTCTACCTCACTCAAATAAAAACACCCTCCATCCCCCGAGACAGACAATAAGCCCAGTGCAGAAAACCACCTCCCATTCCCGTCTATCTCACTCAAACTAAAAGACTCTGAATCCACTAAACATCCTTCTGCAGCTTCCATCTCCCCTCCTGAGTGTTAGTCTTATAGTATATGATCCACGATTGAACCTTTTCCAATAACTCGAGTTATTGGGATCAACTGGTTCTTGACATGGTATCAGAGCCTTCTGTGACCGAGAGGTCTTGTGTTCGATTTCCAGTGACCCCAATTTGTTAAGCACATGATATTCTTGTCTTCAGTCCTGTGCAAACTTCAAGCCCTTGTGAGTGGCTTTCGTTTGAGGGGGGCGTGTTAGTGTTGTGGTATATGATTCACGATTGAATCTCTCACACCAACTCGAGTTATTGGGATCAACTGGTTCTTGACACTGAGAAGACAGGGAAGAAAGGGGGTTTCAAGAGGTGATGGGAACTGATGGCATGGCAAATTTTGTTGAGCTCCTGGAAGGTTAGTGGATAGAGCGGGTGTTGGAGAATGGCTAATTCATGGCGTCATTGGCGGGTGGCGATGGTGCGCCGGGATTTGTTTGAGGATTCTGGTTATTTTTTTTGCTTTGCATGCGAATAAGCTTGAAGAGGAGGCAGGGCAGCCGAAAGAAATTAAAGGCAGGGGGCGGATTCCGGTAAGCGGTAGGTGGGAGGAGATGGCAGGGAGTTATAATCCGTTGATTCCTCCTTCTTCCTCACTCAACTCCACCATTGAAACCCTTCTCTCCTCACCGCATCCGCCACCAACGGTGACCTCCAATTCCTCCCATCCTCATCGGCAACCCTCCAATCCCGATTCATTGCCAAATCGTTGGCTACCCTCAGGCCAAAGAGGAAAAGGAAAAGGAAAGTGAAGAGGAAAGACCAAAAAAAAAAAGAAAGGAACGGGAAGTGAGACGGACGATGGTGGCCCCGTCGGCGATCTTGTCGTGAAAGTCGAACGGGAAAGAATCCTCTCTTTTTCCTATTTTAGGTTTTTATTTAAAAAATAAAAATCAATACTTGCCAAATCAGCAAAAAAATCCAGCTCATCATTTTGCCACGTCTAAGTCAACTAACAGTTAACCGGAAATAAAGTTAATTGTTTGACTATTAAATTATTTTCGAAAAGGTTTAGCTATTATTTTGTTTTAAATGAAAGATTTGACTATTAAATTGTATTTACCCTAAATTATTTGAATATGTTTAAATCAGTTTTCATTATTGCATTTCATTGGTAAGAGGAGAAAATAAATAACATCTTGCCGTCCAAAGAGAGAAGATTTATCCATTTGATATTCAATTTGATTTTTTTATTTAGAAAAATTCATTAACAGTTTTCAAAGAAAATTCTACGGAGTGACGTAACACCATAACTAGTAAATTATGTTACATGCATGTTGCAGTACCGATACATACCTAGTTTTCTATATCATTTTGACACAACAGTACACTAACAAGTTTGTCATTAGTTATAAATGATATAAATTCATATTTTAAAATAAGGTTAATTGCATGGTTGGTCAATGAGATTACAAAAAACGTTCAAGTTTGGTCACTCGAAATATTTAAATCCATTGGTGTTACTTCAATTTACTGAAATCGTTCACGTTTGGTCACTCTCCGTCCAACTCCGTTAACTTTTGCTTACGTGGCAGTCAACTCTAAAAATTGACCGTTAAATGTGTTATGTGGCAAATAAAAATAATTACATAAATAAAATTTGATTTTCTAAAATTTCCACCTCATTTCTAACTATTAAAAAAATAAAAATTATTAAATTAAGAACCAACACCGCAAAACCAGAACCACCACCTCATTCTTCTTCCTACGGCGATGGGCCTCTCCTACGTCTCTGATTCCCCTTTCTTCATCCTCATTCATGATGCTCGTAGACGTTGGTGTTTCCGCAATTTTCGATCCCCGAAAAAGGAAAGAAAGAGAAGGAAAAGATAGTTTATAGTATCGGTAAATTATGGCGGAAGAAGCTGTAGTTGAATCGGTGCCGGAAACCCTAGAAACTCCACATCCATCGGCAGCTTCTCCGACCGATTCGCCAACCGCGGTCGTTTCCGATCCCTCGCTCTCGCGGAATGCATCATTCCGTAAACTCAACGCGCGAGCTCCCGAGTTCGTTCCTATTAAGCAACCGCCTCCTCCGGCTACTCCGTCTCCTCAGCTTCCGTCGAGGCCGGCTGTGATGTCGCCCCTCCTGGTGCGGCTATGATGCATATGTACTCGCCTGCACCGTCCCCGTCACTGCCTACGGCTGGGCCGGCTTCACCTTACCACGTCCCGATTCACAGTCTGGTGCCGGTTGCTCACGTGATTCCGGTAGAGAATCATCATCCGCATCACAATAAGCACCATCAACAGCTGCCGCCGCAGCAGCACGTTGCGGTGCGGAATTTGATCGGGCCTAGTATAGTTACTGTAAGATGAGTGTATCAGTTAGTGACTCGGAGGTTTTGACTAAAGAAGTTGCATTGATGGCGGAAATATTGCTTCTCTTTAGTGCTTCGGTTATTCTGATGGCTAATGGATGTAAGATTTCCTGTTATTTTTATTTTTTTAATAGTTGGAAATTTTTAAAAATTAAAATTTATTTATTTATTTATTTTTTAATTGCCACGTCACACATTTAACGGTCAACTTTTAGAGTTGACTGCCACGTAAGCAAAAGTTAACGGAGTTGGACGGAGAGTGACCAAACGTGAATGGTTTCAGTAAACTGAAGTACCACTAATGGATTTAAATATTTCGAGTGACCAAACTTAAACGTTTTTTGTAATCACAGTGACCAACCATGCAATTTAAGCTTTTAAAATATTTGAAAGATAAAAAAATTGTATGTGTTCTGCAATTTTAAAATATTCTTGTAATGAACTGTATATGTGTTCTGCAATTTTCGTACATGGATTCAAAATTTTGAATGTTGTGGCTAGTTGTCATTGATAGCATCATGAACATAGACTATATGCAGAAGAAACAATTGATCGGATTCATAAATTGGTGGATTTATTTAATTGAATTAATCAGTTTGATTAATGAAGAAAAGAACTTGAGTTATATATTTACTGAATCCACATATTCAGCAAAAGATTTTTTTTTTTTGTAGTTTTCTATATGGTCGATTTTATATTAAGACATTTCAAATTGATAAAATCTACCGATATCAAATATCTTATAATAAAAAAGACTTTAAATGTTATATAAAAACAGAGATTCTAAATCTAGTTTTTGGCATTTTTCTTCACGTTTATCTCTTCCATTTTTTTGTATCTCCACTAAATATTCTCACCAATAAATTCTCAATATGATTTTTCAGCATTATGTTTATTTGGTTAATAGTAAACATGACATTCGATAAAAAAAAATTACTTTTCATTCAATTTTAATCATCCCACTTGCAACATAATGAACAAATTAAAAAAAATTCAGTTCAGAGAGTTAAAATCGATTGATTGTGTAAAATCTAGATATTTAAATTCAAATTCTCTAAATGTGCCTAGAATCATGGATTTTTGGGTTAGATTCATAGATACAAATTACAAATTTCAATTCTCTAATTTGTGGAAGGAATTTACCATTCATTGGAGATTGTACAATATATAAATGATACATATCTATTTAGGGAGCTAATTAAGTTATGAAATGAATCTACACAATAATTACAATGATATAATTTTGAATCAGAATTTATTGATTTGTATCTTATTTTTCCCTAATATGCCCTGCAGGATATATGTCGTGTCAACTACTCCAATCTAGAACTGGAGAAGAAGGAAGTTGAGTCAATGCAAGTGGTTTAGTGAGAGAGTTTGCAAGTTGTTGAGTGTTTGGTACATGGCAAGCATTGAGATGGTTGTGTTGGACCAAATGTCAACAAAATGGTAGTTGAGAGCCATATGTTTCATTTGGGAATCAAATACGAGATTAGAACTGAAATATGTGACACCTAATGCTCGTAGACTTCCCATTTTGTTTTCTGTTTTCTGTTGTAAAAACGAAAATAAAAAACAAATGACAATAAACGTGTTCATTTGTAGTTTTGTTTTCGTTGGAAAAATCCATTTGTCATAAATGAGGAAGCTAAGCGGAAACCATTAATACTCGTTTCCTGGAAATAATGGGGCGGGTTATTCCCCGTTTCCTAGTGGAAAATCAGCCCTGTTCATTAATGAGGTTATCGGTTCGATCCCTTAATGATGACTTTTTTAGCTTTTCTCCTCTTTTCCCAGACGCAGTTGTTTTGCCAACTAAAAACAACTTGTTTCTTGGAAATAATGGGGCGCGTTATTCCCCGTTTCCTAGCGGAAAATCAGTCCTGTTCATTAATGAGGTTATCGGTTCAATCCCTTCCAGGCCGGTGAATCCTACCTCCAGCCGGCGAAATCAAGAAGCAGCGATGCGATTCTCCATCCTCTCTCTCAAACATATACAACTTTCAATTGAACTCAAATGCTTTTGAAGTGGAAAATTTTATAAGGGAATCGGATTGACTTTGAGGAGATCAAAGTGGACTTGTCCAAGCGCCAGCATTTGTCTCCTGAATTTGAGGTTTGGAAGGACAGATTTGAGCTTCCTTGGGTCCTTGAGAATGAATTGTAATGGAATTCTAGAGATTTTATCCACTTGTCAGCCTGTAAAGTAAAATTATAGGGAGTTTAATACAAGATGAATCTAGTTGTTTGATAGGTAGTTATTGCAGTGGAAATATCAATTAGAAGAATGATGTCGAGGGGCCATCTTATGATCCATCCAAATTTCTACTGATGGGATTTCAGAGATAAATCCTACGAAGCTAGTATCTGCTATTGGTGATGGAAGGTTCAAGCTATTTGAGAGGCTGTCATTCTCAATGCATCACTGTATTAGTTGAGGAAGGAGTTTGATCTAGAGCTTGTTCTGGTTCTTGATGAGAGGCTTACAAAGACGACGACAGGGATTGAGGATTTGCAGAGGAGAATGAAGAAAGCTCTTTAATGTGATTTTATTATGTTAAATTGTTAATCTCCTCTGTAAATGCTAGTGTTTGGTTAAGATTTGATACTTATATGTATGTTGAAACTTATTGTTTCTTCCTCAATTTGATCCAAGATGAATTTAGCATCTCTGTCGATATAAAAGTTATGTTAAAAATTATAATAATGATTAGAATTGTATGATACTTAATGAACAAAATTGTGAGAATCAAGTACCAGAAAACAACATGAAGTAACTAAACAAGTTTTCATTTTCATAATCCAGTTTCAGAACTCTAAAAAATTTTCAGCTAAACAAGTTTTCTTCAGGTTTTGTTTCCCAGGAAACGACAGCTTCGTTTTCATTTCAATTTGTTTTCTGTTGTGACAGCTACAGAAAACGAAATGGCAAGTAAACGAGCCATAAATTGTCTGAGTAGATAGTAGGGGTTTTGGTTGTGAGATGGTGAAGCTCACTAAGAAGGTTGCATATCCATTCAAGTTCGATCATCGCATGGGCAATAGCAAAATATTATGCTTATGTGCTAGAGAGAGCAATAGTGAGTCGCTTTTGAGAGCGACAAGAGATTAAATTGGTTCTGAGATATATGAGATAAGCAGTGTGGAATTTTTTCCATTAAGATTAGCTGCCCTATCAGAGTGTACAAAGGCATAGATCGTGAGAGACAGGGATTGTTGTCAAATGAATAGGGCGAAGTGCTATGTTCCATTGATATAATGAAATACTCTCTCTTCACATGTTGCCAATGTGTCATAGTCGTAGGATGCATGCATGTATTGAGTTTGTTTAACTGCTAAGATGATGTTTGACGAGTGTAGACTAGGTATTGAAGAGCACAAGAGCTTACCTATATTGGGTGGTGTTTGTAGGAGAACTACCGTCAGAGGGAGATGGTTGAGCAGTGGAGGATAGAGGAGTGGAAGCCGGTTTTGCATCAAGCTTGGATGTATTTTATGTTGAGAGAGAAGAAAGCCATCGGCCATGGGTATGACTTCAGTCCAATGAAATAATTGATGAGCACAAAATGTTTCAGTGAGAACTTGCAGGATAGAGAGCCTTGAAAAGCTCATATAGTAGAAGCATCATTTCATGTGATGTCGAACAAGCCATCCACATATATGAGAAAATATATGGTAATTCCAATGTCGGTGATAAGCAAAAAGTAAAGCTTAGAGATGATCTTCTGTTTACACCTAAAATATTTTTGGCCTAAATTCATGCCGTAATAATGAGTCTCGGCATTTAATTCGATTTCGCATGGCCAAAATGATGTCGTTTGGTGTCGAGCAATGCCGCGGAGAATTTAAGCGAGACCGCGAAGAGGCTCAGCGGTACCGCGGTACTTGAAACGACATTGGTTGCAGACCATGTGTGAGTCATGCGCAGGACATGTGTTGCTGTTGGACAAGGAATGTTTTTTATTTTATTTTTCCTTGTCGGAGGAGGAGAGTAACATCACCGTTTGGAGTCAAGCAATGCTGCGAAGAGGTAAAACGGTGCCGCGAGCCTCAAAGCTCAACGGCATCGTGAGACTTGGAAACGGTGTTGTTTGGCTAAAAACGGCACCGCGACAAGCGGCATCGCGGATGAGTTAAAACGGTACCGCAAGGAAGCTCAGCGGTACCGCGGCACTGGAAACGACACTGAAAATAAAAGGGGCCGCGCGTTTTAGTGTAGATGTCGGGGAAGGAGTTTTTTCTGTTTATAATTAATTATTATTTTTATTCCTTGTTGGAAGGGGAAAATCGGTACCACATGGAGATAAGCGGTATCGCGGAGAATTAAAACGGTGCCGCGAATTTAAAAACGATGCCGCGAGAGCCTGGTAAGCGGTACCGATTAATTAAACCAAGATTCGCCTAGTCCAATGCGAGCGCCGATTGGCGGCTGTTCCATGGAATATTTTCGGCTATATCAGCGGTGTCATTTAAATTAAAAACGGTACCGCGAGTAAGCCCAACGGTACCGCTGTATTAGCAAACGACAGTGTTTAAATATTTAAACAATGTCGCGGAAAGAAAAACAAACGGAGCTGTTTGGAGAGGAAACGACACCGCGGAGCTTGAAAACGATATCGCGCGAGGAATCAGCAATACCGCGGTGGTGGATAAAGTCGCGAGCTAAACAACATTGCGGTGGAGAGAGATGTCGCGGTCGCGAAACTAGCGGCGTTGCTAGTGCGACAATGCCGCGAAGTTCAATGATGCCGCAAGGCCAAAGAAATATCGTGGAGTTCAACGAAGGCCATCGACTTTGTGTGGTCAACGACGCCGAGAGATCAACAATCTAGCGGCGAGTACGCGGTAACGAGGGTGAAACAACAATGTTGTTTAAATCGATGGCGGTATCGGGATTCGAACCATGGTATAAAGTTGATGTGTTTGCACGTGACTTTTACGCAAAGCAGAAAGAGGAGATCAAGGCAATTGAAATACGTGGGATTTCAGGACGGAGCAGTTGAGGAAGCAGTTCTACAGAGCGTGAAGACTACGAAGGTGGTTTTAGATAAAATCAACCCTGCAAGGAGAGAGAGAGGACGAACCAAATCAACACAGAAAGACATCTGTCAAACTTTACCTTTTTTCTCTGTAACTCCTTCGCGGAGCTCTCCTTCCAGGAAGGATCTCCATAGTTATAGTCTTAGTCGTAGTCGCGGAGCTCTCCACAGGAATCTCCATAGGAGTAGCGGTAGCGTAGATTCCTCAAAACTCAAACACCCTCGTACGAACGTAGTTTGGAGAGGTGCGAACCGTAGTAATGGTCGTTCTTGGATAGAAGTCAGAGGTGCATCGATCAAATCAACACCGCCAGACGGTGGATATTTGACGGTCACGTTGATTTCACTATTTAGAGGTGCATCGATCAAATCAATGGCGTCGACATTCGGCGGCGGATATTTGACGGTCGTCTCGATTTCAGCAATCAGCGGTGCATTCGATCAAACGACACCGCAAGAGTTTCCACCGCGAAACATCAAATCAACATCGCCGAAAACGAATTCGACACCGGTGGTGGCATTTTGGTTGTCCCGAGGAAACAATTTGGCACCCCTGGTGGGACACATGTGTTTGAAATGGCTTTGCGACGAGGAAAACAAGATTGCGATCTTCCACAATAATTTATGGACGAGCAAAGGACCAATACTGAAGTTGGTCAGGCGGACGAGGCAGATAGACATATCAGTCGGATGAAGGAGTGGCCCCAATCCATGTCGAGCACTGACGGGCGTGTTGCACTCCTGTCTCTTCGTCAAGCCGTGGAGGAGTACTACCTGCAGGTAAATCTCTATTTTATCTCTTTAAATAAGCCGTGTGATTCTCTTGGAAAACATATGGATAAATTTTTTGAGATGATAGACGGACATGTTTCCGGTATTGTCAGTCAAGATTCACTAAAACCTATGGCTAAAACAGTGTCGTTAGAGGCTAGCAAATGTCATGTTGGTTCTCCTGTGAACACTATTGTTTTGAAGGACAGAAAAGTTAGAGTTGTCTTGTGAAAGCCACAACAAAGAACAAAATTTAAACGTGTTTATAATAAGTTTAAGAAAATTAGGAAGAACAAGAGTGACATCTTGAAAGATGACAAATTTTACAACATTGTTCAATCTAAGCCGCTAGGGGGGCATGAGATCCCACCGCATGGCCGGTTGAAAGAAAAACAACACCGTAAGTGGCAAATAAGTTTGCCACATCCACCCCATTCTAGGAAAAATCAAACTAGGATCACCACAAACACTACTCAAGATGGAGGTGGTGAGCGCGTGAAAAAATCTAATGTCACCAAAGTGGGCATGAATCAACAGAATCCTCTATGTAAATTGTCCCCAAAACCTCCACTGAGTAGAGAGGGGGGCAAGTTCGATCAAACCCGACATGGGGTTGCCACACCAGTGTTGGCTGGGAACAAATCCATGAGTGGTGGTCTGGGGGGCAAGTCTACTGCTGAAAAAACTCCAAACTCACGTGGAAGCGCAAAAGCTGCAAAGATGTTGTGTGGGCGAGGAAAATCTGACAATAATGGTAAACAAAATAGCCACATACATGCTGGTGAAACCCGTAAGCTTCAGCGTTCATGCTCTCAGCAACATTGTGAGAGCGTGCAACTATTAATACCAGACCAATCTGGGCAAGCGAGGCCGCATGGTCGACATGGCAAGACAAAGATGCCAAAAAATGTGGAAGTCTTGCCGAGAGCGAAGAATACCTGTCACCGACCAAAACAGATGGCTGAGATAAAGCCAAATCGAGCTCGTGGAATTTCAAACAAGTATATTCGAGCAAGACGAGCTGGAAATTTGGAATCCACTGTTGACTTGAAAATTTCTAAGCCAAAGCATGTGGAGCCAGTTGTGAATAGTCACGGGATCTACGGATGGCTTATTTGGTTTGATCAATGGAGTTGGCGATGGGTTTGGACTTTTGGTATGATGATTTATGCCAAAGTCGACCGTGTTTTGGTTTAGCTATTATTAAACTAAATAAAATATGGCTAATTTAGGCCATGTATTAAATTATAAAATATATATATTATAAAATATACAAGCGACACTGCAAGGAAGAAGCCACAAACGTTGTTGGCAATGATTCAAGATGACCATCAGTGTTGTTTGCTCTTTTCTCAACAGCGTTGGAGGAAACAAAAGATGACCATCAGTGTTGTTTGCTCTTTTCTCAACAGCGTTGGAGGAAACAAAAGGGTTTTAGTTTTATATAAAAAAAAAAAACAATGCTGCCAAGATAGCACCGTTGAGAGAGAAGCTATTGGCAAAGTAGTTTCATGGGGGAGGAAAACAACATTGTGGTGTCAAATATATATATTAAAAAAAAAAGTAATATGCTGTTGTTTATAAAAACAGCGTTTCGGGGTAAAAATGCTTCTACTAAAGCATCCCGGTGGGTTTTCGCTAAAAGGAAATTCCAAAAACAGTGTTGCGGTGAGTTGTGGCCGCATTGAATTAGTTTTTGAAGAAGTTCACTAATTTAATATTGCTTTGGCCACGTTGAGTTCAGTTTGGATACAAATTGGGAAGGTAAAAGAAAAGCTTTCACATGGAAGCAAGGGGCCAATACGCAAAACATTGTCCTGGCCGTAAGCAACATTGCAAGTTTGGCTCGCATGCATGCTGATGAAAGGTAAACAGTATTGTAGAGCTGCCGAATTATTGTTGGCGCAAAAAAAAAATTCTCTCAGCGCTGCGGCCAAGCAATGTCGCGGCTGTTGTGGAAGTCTAACAGCTCTGTCGACAAAAGGAGTAGTGTGCGGCCAAGCAGCTCTAATAAAAAGAAGAAAAAAATTATTATTATTAAATAATGCTCGCAGCGCTGGTGGAGGAAGAGAATAATATATATATATATAAAAAGAGCATCACGGCGGCTATGCAGGCCAGCTAAGGAGGAAAAATAGGCCAAAAGACTACCGCCAATTTTTGGTGGATTGGTGGTCTAATTTAAAACTATTTTAGGTGTTGTGGATTATGTCAACAATTTGGTTCATAATTCTTATAAACCAAATTGTGGGGGGCATTGTTTACACCTAAAATATTTTTGGCCTAAATTCATGCCGTAATAATGAGTCTCGGCATTTAATTCGATATCGCATGGCCAAAACGATGTCGTTTGGTGTCGAGCAATGCCGCGGAGAATTTAAGCGAGACCACGAAGAGGCTCGGCGGTACCGCGGTACTTGAAACGACATTGGTTGCAGACCATGTGTGAGTCATGCGCAGGACATGTGTTGCTGTTGGACAAGGAATGTTTTTTATTTTATTTTTCCTAGTCGGAGGAGGAGAGTAACAGCACCGTTTGGAGTCAAGCAATGCTGCGAAGAGGTAAAACGGTGTCGCGAGCCTCAAAGCTCAACGGCATCGCGAGACTGGGACACGGTGTCGTTTGGCTAAAAACGGCACCGCGACAAGTGGCATAGCAGATGAGTTAAAACGGTACCGCAAGGAAGCTCAGCGATACCGCGGCACTGGAAACGACACTGAAAATAAAAGGGGCCGCGCGTTTTAGTGTAGGTGTCGGGGAAGGAGTTTTTTCTGTTAATAATTAATTATTATTTTAATTCCTTGCTGGAAGGGGAAAATCGGTACCGCATGGAGATAAGCGGTATCGCGTAGAATTAAAACGGTACCGCGAATTTAAAAACGATGCCGCGAGAGCCTGGTAAGCGGTACCGATTAATTAAACCAAGTTTCGCCTAGTCCAATGCGAGCGCCGATTGGCGGCGGTTCCATGGAATATTTTTGGCTATATCAGCGGTGTCGTTTAAATTAAAAACGGTACCGCGAGTAAGCTCAACGGTACCACTGTATTAGCAAACGACAGTGTTTAAATATTTAAACAATGTCGCGGAAAGAAAAACAAACGAAGTTGTTTGGAGAGGAAACGACACCACGGAGCTTGAAAACGATATCGCGCGAGGAATCAGCAATACCGCGGTGGTGGATAAAGCCGCAAGCTAAACAACATTGTGGTGGAGAGAGATGTCGCGGTCGCGAAACTAGCGGCGTTGCTAGTGCGACAATGCCGCGAAGTTCAATGATGCCGCAAGGCCAAAGAAACATCGTGGAGTTCAACGAAGGCCATCGACTTTGTGTGGTCAACGACGCCGAGATATCAACAATCTAGCGGCGAGTACGCGGTAACGAGGGTGAAACAACAATGTTGTTTAAATCGATGGCGGTATCAGGATTCGAACCATGGTACAAAGTTGATGTGTTTGCACGTGACTTTTTCGCAAAGCAGAAAGAGGAGATCAAGGCAGTTGAAACACGTGGGATTTCAGGACGGAGCAGTTGAGGAAGCAGTTCTACAGAGCGTGAAGACTACGAAGTTGGTTTTAGATAAAATCAACCCTGCAAGGAGAGAGAGAGAGAGGACGAACCAAATCAACACAGAAACACATCTGTCAAACTTTACCTTTTTTCTCTGTAACTCCTTCGCGGAGCTCTCCTTCCAGGAAGGATCTCCATAGTTGTAGTCTTAGTCGTAGTCGCGGAACTCTCCACAGGAATCTCCATAGGAGTAGCGGTAGCGTAGATTCCTCAAAACTCAAACACCCTCGTTCGAACGTAGTTTGGAGAGGTGCGAACCGTAGTAACGGTCGTTCTTGGTTAGAAGTCAGAGGTGCATCAATCAAATCAACACGGCCCGGCGGTGGATATTTGACGGTCACGTTGATTTCACCATTTAGAGGTGCATCGGTCAAATCAACGGCGCCGACATTCGGCGGCGGATATTTGACGGTCGTCTCGATTTCAGCAATCAGCGGTGCATTCGATCAAACGACACCGCAAGAGTTTCCACCGCGAAACATCAAATTAACATCGGCGGAAACGAATTCGACACCGGTGGTGGCATTTGGTTTACCCGAGGAAACATCTTCACAAAGCCTTGGTCTTATAAAAATGAGCTTAGGGCAATGAACCAGGCACGAGGAACCTATTTAAGCCCATAAATGATTCATTTGAGCCGCAAATATGGGTAGCTTATCCTAGGTTTTGAAAACCATGGGGTTGAGCCATGAATACCTCCTCCTGTAGTGGGCCTTCTAAGAAAACATTGTTCATATCATATTAGAAAATTGGACATTCCTGAGAGAAGGCCTAAGTGAATAGCAGTCAAACAGTTACCGGTATAACAACTGGACCGAAGGTATCATGAAAATCAATAATTTATCGCTGATGAAAATCCTTTGCCAACAATCAGGCCTTAAAACGATCAATAGAACCATTTGGACGGTGTTTAACACGAAAACCCAGCAACATCCGACGATATTTTCATGGCCCTGAAGGGGAACCAATGTCCATGTCCAATTGTTTAGTAGAGCCTTGTACTCAGCTTTGAGAGCAGCGTCCCACTCTGGGAATTGAAGAGCCTCTTTGGCATACTTGGGTTCCAGAGGGGGTGCATTAGTGGCTTGATCCAGGAACAAATTTTTTACTTGAAAATTTGGTTTCGATATATGGTAACTATTGTGCGCCGGTGGGTTAAGGATGGTGTAGGAGGAGAAGGCCATTTGGTTGATTTTGCTATTGTAAAGGATATAACCTTGTGGACATATCTTCAGAGAAGGACGAACCATTGTAGATGCTTCGGTTGAATTGACGGTCGTTGGGAGTGCGCCAGTGGGGATTGGATTCATAGGGAGAAGCCCAATGGATGGAGTATTCATCTGGAGCCATGACTTGGATGTATGAGCCATTTAGGGGTGGAAATTGGGGTGGGTGTAGTTACCCGCCCTACATTCCCACACCCACAAATTTACAATTATGCTACCTACAACCCGCACCGCAGTGGTTAGTGAGTAACCACTACCCACTGTGGGTTTGTGCCGATTGGGTGTGGTTATCCGCAAAAAAACCATCTTTGCAAGTATAGAGTTCTAGTCGCCACTAATGTATTTGTTATTCGTAACTAGATTATAGTGATATACACTTGTGCTGTTCATAGAGATACAATTTTGTACATCGATCTTACTCAACGTGGAGATTTTTTCTTTTTGAGTTTGGTATTCAACTTTTGTGTTAGAGAGCTGTGATTTCATATTTCCCTGACTAGGGGTGAAATATGACAATTATATATGATCTTGTATTTTTTTCACACAAAATCAAAAACATACTGATAAAAGTTATAAAAGGTTTTCACTTTTAATGAATTGATTATTCTCCACTCTATCGATTATAGTGTTTTATAAACTAAGAAAATCTTACATAAAACTGATTAGGTGTGTCTTTTTTATTTGGTGGCTACTTTAATTTTTATCCTCGCACTTTTCACATACTATTATATTATAAAGTTAATTCACTAAATAAATATAATTAGTGTGGTTATTGTAGATTTTGTGGGTTAATCGCGGTGGGTAGTGGATAACCACTAACCACAAAAATCTTTATTTTACTACCCACACCCAACCCACTACCCACAACTTGTGGGTATGATTACCCACAATAGGTGCGAGTTGGTGCGGTTTGCGGATTATCCACAACCCGCAACCCAAACTTCCACCCCTATGGGCCATGACGTGACAACTATTAATAGATTTAAGTAATTGATAACACAGTATTTGCACATGTTTTCCCTTCACTTTTGGACCGTTTGTGATAGATTTGTTGCAATTAAAAGCCGAATTTACACTAGGTTGTGTTTGTTTGTGATATTTCAGGGCCTAGTTCGTGAATGGCGTCCTTGGGGGAAACTCACAGACCAAATGGAGCAGAGACATATCCAGAATCTGCGAGCAAATTGTGAAGGACGACCAAGGAGGTCAAGTCACAGTCGTCACTTCTAAGTCTCGGTCGTGACTTCAAAGTCCCAACCGTGACATACTCATCTAGTCCGTGACTCAACAACGGGAAACAGAAGGTTCAAGATAAAATCATGGTCATAGTCGTGACTCGCAACACAAGTAACGGTCACACCCATGACTTGGATGCCACAACCGTGACTCTTGGTTATTCAAAATTTGAAGAAACATTGCATTTTGGAAGTCACGAGTGGAACGGCCAAGTCACTGCTGTGACGTGGCGCAGACTTTCAAATCTTCAAGGAAACATAAGGCAGACTCGGGCAAAAGAGAAGCGAGTCGATTTTCACTTCAAGAAACATCCTAATATAGCTCTAGAGAGAGATAGTGAGGAAGAACAAGACTTTGGACCACTTTGACAATTGGAACTTGGATTTCACCCCTCATGAGTATGACCACTTTGGTTGAGTTTTCTTCTCTCTCTCTCTGGAGTAAACCTCCTTCTCACTTGGGTATGAAGAATCCTAGTTCTATGTGTTAGGATCTTTGTTGTATGAACCTTTGGATGCTATAATCAGTTTATTCAATTGAAATGTAATGATTTGATTCAATTGCATCTTGATCACATTCTCTTGATTTCTGATGTAACCTAGGAGAGAGAATTTGATTGAGTTAAGAGAGCTTCTTCGATTGAAAGTAGTGAATCAATTGTACAATCGATTCATTACTATCTACAGGATTCATTCAAGTAGAGGAGATTTTTTGAATGAGTATCATATGTTTGTATCTCATCCAACCATAACCCTTTCAACTCATCAATTAAAGGATGCATGTAGATGTGGATATATTTACCTGTTGTCGAAAGGCGGATAATCAACAAAGTCAATAATAGATCGATTCCGTCATACACATCCAAAGAGGCAAAAAAAACATAATTTAGATCCAAATTTACAAATAAAATTATGAAATGAGCAAACATTTATTCAATTAAAAAACTACACTTTATCTTCACCCCCTCTTCACACCCTCTCTATAAAATCATTCACACCATCCTCTATCACCTAAGCTCGCTGGAAATTTGAAGTTGGAAGTGAGGAAGGTTCCACACGTGGGACTGTCTAATAAGAACCTCACTAATCGCGAGATGAGGTAAGGTTTTGCAGCTGAATAATTAACAATGTTAATATTGCTACGTACTGCTTGAAATTTGAAGTTGGTAATGAAGTTGGTAATGAACTTTTCCACAGATTATGAACTTTGTTTACAGCAAAAAAATCACTTAATACCACATTGACTATTTTCAAAGAGTGGTAATGATTTATAAGGCCAACCAAACCATAGTAATTAAATTGGTTTAAGTTAGGCCTAAGGGATGCAATTTTGGGCTATCCATGTCTTAATGCAAGGTAACTCGACACAGTGTTGAGACTCAACCACAAGGGGGTCAAGCATGGCATCATCAGGGGGGGTCAAGCGTCAACACCCTTCGACGTCAACCACCCAATTTGGTATGCTGGAGGCGGTGTCGTACAAGGAAGAACATAACAAGTACCCCAAGACTTGGTAGGGGAAGAAGTCAAAATTTGGCTAAGTGTTGGAATCCAACCACATTTGTTGGGGAGGGGGGGGGGGGGGGGGGGGGGGGGGGTTCAAGCAAAGCACTAGGGTGCCAAGCATGACGCAACACACCCTCATCCCCAGTAGTCGGCCATATATGCTAGGCTTCATGGGTAGGCATGCATGATACCTAATAGACAAGGCCATCTGAGTGTCAGCCATGTACATCATCTCATGGTAGACCGCATTGTCAAGACCCTACAAGCATGGTGACACCCCAAGGGGGTCAGTGAGCATCCTTCAACCCCCAAGAATATCAAGTGGCAAGCACGCAATGCAGTTAAGGCGTTAAGCAAGCTACATCAAGCACCAAGCAGTGGAGCAGCGGTTACAAGGGATGACTATAGGTGTCAATCGGGCGGGTTCGGGCGGGTTCGGACTGGGTTCAAACGGGTTGCGGGTTCATCGGGTTCATCGGGTTCAAACGGGTTGCGGGTTAGTCGGGTTGCGGGTTCATCGGGTTCAGATTCAATCGGGTTGCGGGCAAATTGGGTTGCGGGTTCATCGGGTTTTGGGTCGGGCGGGTTGCGGGCGAGTCGGGTTTGGGGTTGTTCGGGCCAGTGCATCAAGTAACTTAACTCATTACCAACTTACATATTTTATTACACTAATTTAAAATATTTTCTCAACTTTTTAACCAATTTATTTCTACCTCGTATATATATACTTTATTTTTTTGAAAAAAACTAGTCAAAATGTTAAATCAATTCGTATGACTTGCAAACTTGTTATGTAATTAATCATAATTGGTAAAGTATTATAGCTAATAGTAATGGTGATATCAATATTTGCAACCAAAAGACGCCGTTAATTGTTTATTTGATATTTTAGTATTAATTCAATAGTAATTGGATTAAAGTATCTCGTTTAGTATAACCATGCAAATATGGTATTTGGAGTGTGGTATTTGGCAAAAGCATAGTGATAAAAAGAGTTATTTCAAAATAACTCATTGTCCAAATAAATTTAGTAAACTGTTGCCAAACGGGTTATTTGTAAATTTGTTCGAATTATCCTAAAAATTGAACCATTAAAGATTAGCTATCAAATTTAGTAAAATTATTGGGGCTTCAATCATAACTTACTCAATAGCATATATCCTATACACTTAGCTTTACTCTCAATCAAAAATATTAAGTTAGTATATGTTGTTGATTGTATACCCTAAACCATCAATACATTATACACTAACCACATAACCTATACCCTAACCATATGTCCTTGAGTTGTGATTTTGCTAGTATAGTTAATTTAAAAGTGAAATTCATACTTTGATTTTCAAAACATAGATAAAAGTGATATTTTGCTAATTGTTATACCCTAATCATATATCCTATACTTTACACCACATACCTTGTACCCTAACCACGTACCATAAACATAAATTAAAAAGGGATCTCCTGCCGTTAAAGACTTCAAATGACTTCAAGTGAACATATGTTAATAAAAAACTTAGAACCGTCAAAACCATCAATATCTTATACCCTAACCATATACACCCTAAACCATATGTACCTTATACCTTATACCCTAACCATATACTTTATATCCTAAACAACGAACCGTCAAAGATTACTTATCAAGTTTAGTATAAATTGTTGTAACTAATGGTTAATTTATTTATTAGCCCATAAAAAATTACATACATATATACATATTAGCCTTCAAAGCATATAAGAATAATTTTAAGGTTAAATACACTTGTACATCCAAAACTTTCACGGTTGTGCCAATAATATCCAAATTTCTTTTCACAAAAATACTAAAATTTCCCTCCTTCTTTCTCCTTCCATACATTAGAAAAACTCAATTTTCCCTCCTCTTTCTCTTCCATAAAATGGAAAGAACCAAATTATCCTCTTCTTTCCTTCTACAAAAAGTTGAAAAGTCAAAAGTTTCCCTCATTATTTCTCTTTCATAATCAAAAGAATCAAATTTTCCCACTTCTTTCTCTTCCCACATATCAAAACCACCAAAATTCCCACTTGTTTCTTTTCTAAAAAATTAAAAGAACCAAATTTCCCTCTTCTTTCTCTTCCCAAAAACTTGAATACACCAAAATTTCCATCTTCTTTTAAAAACATCAAATTACAAAATACATTACTTTACTTTATTTATATTTAATTGATAATTTTATTGAATAGTTAAATTAACCAAAATTTTAATTTATATATTATATTAATATTGTCATGATCTCAAATGACCTTCATGTTTCAATTTTTTAATTTTCTTAAAATACGTAATATCAAGTGAGTTTCATATTTTTAAAATTTCTTATACGAAATGAAAAATAATTTTACTTAAGTTTAGAATGAAAAACTTTATTTTGAAAAACTATGTATTGTATAGTTTTATAATTATTCAAGTGGATTAGATGAAATTCGGATTGAGTCGGTCGGGTTACGGGTTAGTCGGGTTCGGGTCAATCGGGTTAATCGGGTTGCGGGTCAGTCGGGTTGCGGGTCAATCAGATTCGGGTTAATCGGGTTGCGGGTTAGTCGGGTTGCGGGTCAATCGGGTTGCGGGTCGGGCGGGTTACGGATTGTTGACTTTTAGTCAATTCAAGGTTGCGGTCGGGTTGCGTGTCGGGTTGATCGGGCGGGTTAATCGAGTCGGGCTATGTTTTGACACCTAAAGGGATGACTATAAATAGGAGAAACGAAAAAGAAGCAAGGGTTCCACAACCAAACATTTGATACACAATGTCAAAAATTATCTTTTTCTCTGCAATGTAGCCATAGTCGTAGCCCTTAGTTTCTAGAGCT